CAGAATTCTGGAATGATTGATCAAAACTGAAATGTCCTAAAAAGAGTGTGAAGTCAAATTTCAGCTGAGAATATTCTCTTAAAAATCTGCTGGCAGTGAATCCATTGGCTGTGGGGATGTAAATTTGTGCTTCGTGTTTTCTTTGTTTGGAAAAAATCATAGAAGGATTGGTTTTGAATTTTAATTTTTTTTTTTTTTAATTAGTTGGCAAAGGATTCACCTGCTGATGTATAAAAATCAGCCCTAACCACAGGTGCAGCTGGGATTTATTCTGCTTTCCTTTGTAACCCGTGCTCCTCAAACCTGGAATCACCTGCTGGGAGAACAACAATTCCAATTCCCTCCCCAGATCTGCCTCTGCCAATTAAATAATCAAAGATATTAAATCCCTTCCTTGTGCTTGCTGCTTCTTCCTCAGAGCAATTCCAGCCATGGCAAATGGTGAATTTTCAGCTCCCTTTGAAGAAGTTTTTTTTGGAAAATTAGTTTATTTTTGGGTGGAGAGCCCAGTGCAGGAGTCAGAACTAGAAATAATTTATCCTTTAGTGCATTTGTATTGCATTTCTTTCCCTGCTTGAAAAGCTTTTTATGAAGAAGTGATGAGAAAAAAGAGTGGCTAAAGGAATGAATCCACTCCTTGGAATATTCAGTGTGTAATCCTTGGCACAGGATAAACCAGGAATTCTCTTTATTTCAACCTTCCAGCCAGGACCAGGAAACTGAAGAGCTCAGTCCTGACAGAGGTGGGTGTTTAACACATTATTTTATTATGAATTATTGTCATTATCATCATTATTGTCATTATTATTGCTATTGTTATTATTGTTTTGGTTCTGTTATTGGGGTTTTTTTTGTTGTGGTTTTTCTATTTTTTTATTTTTTTGGGAGGGAAATTCAGTTTCTCACAAGCTCCTCCCCAACTTATTTAGAAGTTCCTAAAGAATTTTATTTCTCAGTAAAAGCTGCTATGGGGAGCAAGAAAAAGAATCTTTGTTCAGCCCCTCCTGCTCTGCTGTTCCATCACCTGTCACTGCAGGGGAAGAGCAGAATTCAGACCTGAGGTCACTTAATTGCTGCCAAAACCTTTGGGGAGAAACCAAATCCCTTGGGAATAATTGCTGCTGGCCCCTGGTGGGGTTTGAAATGTCTGACAGAGATCTCAGTGCCAACATGGAGAGGGAATTTCCCCAGGCAAAATACCTGTGAGTCTTAAAAAACTGTTGATTTTTTTAATTTTTTTTTTTTTTTGGCTTGTCCAAATGTTCCCCACATGGGCTGAAATTCTCATTTCTCTACAGACAGAGGGAGAATTCCAGAACCAGAGGGTAAAGCACATTTTGGAGATGGGCAGGAGGAGGCAAGTGAGGCTCTAAATTCCTGTGGTTTAGTTCAGGATATTCTGGATTTATGCCCCAATGAACTTTGTTATTTATTTACTTGTTTTCCTCTTTACCTCAGCTGTGTTGAAGTGTCTTTACACTTATTTCAGCCTGCAATGATATTTTTGTCACTGCAGAAACATCAAAATGTGCCAATCTCAGGAAAAAAGAGATTTTCAACCAAACTCCTGCTACAATGAGACAATTACTTATTTTTCTTTTTATTTTTTCACTGTGATTTGGACAGGTTTTATCCTGCAGCAGGGGGAAAAGAAAAATGGTTTTCTATGTTTTTTTTATGTTTTATGTTTGTGCTGATTTTTGTGATGAACAAATTCTGACTGGGAATTTTAGGTGCATTTTTCCCATTCCCCGGGAATTTTAGGTGCATTTTTCTGCATTTTTCCTTTTCCTAGGAATTTGAGGTGCATTTTCCCCCATTCCCTGCATAATTCTCTGTAGGCTCCTCCTAATTTGGGCATTTCCTCCTAATTTTGGTTCATTTCCCTGCACCAACCCCAGCTTTGCAGAGAATATTTTGTTTCCCCACCAAACGCTGATTTCTTTGTAGGATTCTTTATTTTCTGACCAGCCAGAGAGTTTTGGGTACGAAACCGAGGGATTTCCAAGCAGAAACACAACCCGTGGCTTAACGAATTTTAAATTTTAAATCCCCGGCAGAGCTGAATGCAGGGTTTGGGAACAGAGCTCTGCTGATCCCCAAATCCTGACCCTACAACATTCCTGGGTGCTTCTGCTCCCTTCCAGAATTTCCTGTGCTCTTTCACCCCTCGCCTGCACCTCGGTGACCTCGGCAATGTCTTCATTTCTCATTTCCCACCCTTGTGTCCATCCTGGGGGCAGAGAATTCCTTTCAACCCTCTTGTTCTCACATTTACCTGAAAACCCCGTGCCCTGGGGTAAATCCTTTATTATATATATATATATATATTTATTTTTTTTTTAAACACTCTGGAGACTTTTTACAGGTTTCAGTCACGTTTGTTTTAAAGTCTTCAACTGCTCCGTTTGACTGCCCTGAAATGTGTTTGCTCCCTGAAGGGTTTTTTTCCAAACAGGCTGAGATTCTTGGGGATCAATGTGAGAACCATTTGTGCCCTTAAAACTTCGTGGAGCATTTCCAGAGGTGTTAATTCCACTGGGAGCTCTCCAAAGTGCCTTGGGAGTGGAGTGAGGATTTCTTTTAATTTCATTTAATATTCTATTTTCTGTGTTTGAGATGAGCATTTGGGGTTTGAGAGCTGAGCTGATAAATTGTGTGTGGGTTTTGTTGGGAATAATTATCTGGGAACTCAAGAAAAACTTTTCTGAGTCAGATTTATAACAAAGCTGAAGGAGATTTGGTATCTCCTAACAAGACATCCAGGATGGGAAAATCAGCAGGACTTCTCCAGAACTGTAAAATTGGGATAAAATGCAGCAATGGGATTGTAAAAACCAACTGTTCATTCCTGGGACTCACAGAGAAACCTCAGGGCTCCTCAGGTCACTGGGGTGTGAAATAAGAGTGGGGTTGGGAGGAGCTGGGTCTGATCAAACCCAACAGAACAGAGAATTTTTGGAAAAACCCAACGAAACCCAAACCATTCCATTGCAGTTGTACACATTCATGTTCTGTTGGAGTTGTTTGGCATTTAGGAGTACATTAACCTACTGGAAATATTTCAATAATAATAATTTAAATAATGTCCATCTCACTGCTCAGAACAGATTTTCATCTCTTACCCTCAACCTTCTTCTTTGAAAGTGGATCCTTTTTTTAATTGATGGAGAGACTTTTCCCATCTGGTCCCATCTTGGATTTCAGCACCATTGGATGCTGGGAGCTTTTCACTGCTTGAAGGATAAAAAGATTCCTGACACTGACAAATTGAGCCCTTTTATTTGCTGGACTTCCAACAGAAACCTGCCTGCCACATCCAGGAAGGAATGTTCAATATTTTCCTCTAAAAAAAAAAGGGATTTGGAGGAAGCAGAATCCCTGCAGGCAAATTCCCCATCCCTGCCCAGCCTGCACCTGTCCCTGGGGGAGGAGGAGGCTCAGCCCCTGGACAAAAGCAACAATTCAACATTTCTATTCCAAATTTATATTCCAAGACATGTCCCACTTTTATTTATGGAAGTTTCAGGCTGCAAAAAAAAAATGAACTTTCGAGTGTTGAAAATGCGGGGGTTGAATTTTGCCAGCCGTAATTAAATCACTGAGATGATTTATCCCCTCTGTGATCACATCTGAGGGATCTTTTCTCCCAGCCTGGGGAAATAAATAAAACTCACAGATGAGAATGGGAGTGCTCTTAGCCTGAATGAACACTAACAAGTAGCTCCAGCTGCTTGTGGTTTCCAGGGGAGGAAAATCCAAACTAAACCCTTCTTCAAGCTGCTTTATGACTTTCAGATGAACACATTTGCATCAAAATTCATCTCAGGCACGGGTCCATGGACAAAAAAAAGTGTGTTGGTCTCTCCCTTTTTTGGGGGGTTTCAGAATTGCCAGGGAATATTTTCTGGATGATCAAGAGGCTTCCTGTAGCCCTGCCAGGGCACGGTTGGGACTTCAGAGCTTCCCAGAGAAAAAAAAAAGTAAAAATTTCCTCTTGAAATTGTTTTAGACAGGTGTAATAAATCAATATAAACGATGGAATCAACCTCTGGGCTTTATTCCTGCAAGTCCACGCCAGGGAACATTTCTTGGAATAAGTGATGACATCTTCCTTAGAGAAAAGAGGGATGAAGTGAATTATCTACAGAAAAGGTCAAGGCTCTGTTCCCTGCCTCTCCTTTAAAAATCTTTTTGAGGAAAATCGAATGTGCTGCCCATTCTTACACCTGGCTCTCTTTACCTGCTGAACCCTCTCTGATTAAGGACTTGGATTCTCTCCTGCATTTTGCATTTTCCCATCAGCCTTACCTGGGCAATAAATTGCATCAAAACTCTTCTCACCCTGCATTTCATTAAAAAATAACTGAAGAGTCCCCCCAGAATTAAGCAGAAGCTGCAGCTCCTTTTCCTTTGTTTTCAGTAATGGAAGTTATTTCCAGATTAGGAGGAGTCACCCTCTGGCTGCAGAGAAATAATTTGAATTCCCTATTGCTGGTAGGATCCTTTCCCATTCCTTATCTCCCATTAAACCCAGAGGTGTTATTAAAATCCAATATAATTTCAGCTCTGCAGGGAGCTCCGTGATAGTTGTAACAGAAGAGGCTGAAAATAACATTTAAATCTTCAATGATGTGGCCATTTCAATGTGGCTTTGAATGATATTTTTGTGTTTTCTCACCTGTTCAAAGTTTCATTTCCAGCAAAGTGCTGGAAAAATCAAAAAGTTTGTTTCAAAATGCAGGGGGTGTGGGCACTGGAGCAAGTCTCAGCTTGTGAGGGCAGGAGGGGATGGGGATTCCTGAGGTGGAATCAGAGAAAAAAAAAAAAAATCTGCTGTGAGCAAAACCTGGGGCCCTGCTCCCCTCCCAGGCAGGAATGACAAATGGAGATGGATGGAGATGGATCCTCAGCTTTCTTCCCTCTATGGCAGCCCAATAAAATATCAATTTATGTGCTCAGAAACCTCCTTTAGAAAGGAAATTTTGATTTTTTTCAGACACCCCCAGCCAGCAGCAGCTTCCTCCTTGTGTTTGGTTCCGTTTTATTTTCTTGGAGATTTAACAAAGGCAGCTTTAATTGATGGCATCCGCCACTGATACCTTCTCTTTTTCTTATACCCTGGGAAGAAATAACCATGTTTATAAAATATTTTTGAGTGATATGGTTCTATTCTTATTTGAGATGATGGTTTTGCTCTCACTTGTATCGATCAAGAAATAGAAGTGAGCGTTGCCTTGGTTACCTTTGCAAAACTCAGTATTTTTATCCTTATTTGTCAGATTTGTGCTGTATAAAATCCCCTTTTCTTTTTGAATCTGTGTTTCTGACCGTTATTAACCAATAACTTTGTCAATTCTGATTAATTTTTTTAAAAGATATTGTATTTTCACTTTCCTCTGGGCTTTTTGGGGCAAGTTTCCTCTTAGTATAACATATAATATTGGGAATCAGCCAGAAACTTTTCCCAGGAACCCCCCACTCCATTCCACCCCCTTGTGCTCATTCCCACAGAGCTGGCATGTCAGTTAGAGCCTTAAAATTCATGTAAATTGGGAAATAATTTTTCTTTCTGTGAGTCTTAAGGAGGTGAAATAAAATATTCCTCGGCACGGAGAGTTAAGAAAGTTCCCCCCGTCCCTCCTTGCCTTTCTCACCGGTCACTTTGCACCAAAAAAAAACCCAGGAATGCAAAGCCAAGGAATTCTAGGAAGGAGCCTGCTGCCCTCTGATGGCTCCTGGAGCAAACAGCCGGCAGGAAAATGGGAATAAAAAGGTGGGAGGATCCTCCTTTACCGGCAAAATTCCCTTTTCAGAACCAGGACAGGCTGAGCAGGAAGGGAAAACTCCACGGGCTGAGTTATTCCAGGGAATGCCGTTTGGTGGGATTTTATTTTTTCATTTTTTTCAGTTCCTTCTCTTCCAAAAGGTTGATTTGATGTTGGGCATCACAGGAACTGCTCCTCCAGCAGAAAATTCCTAAATTCCTGGAAAACTCATTAATTCTCTGGGATAATTGGGTGATGCAGGATTTTTGTGCCCCATCCCTGGAAATGCCCAAGGTTGGGTTGGATAATGAGATAACAAAGGTCAGTTATCAGGAACTGCCTGGATTTGGAAACTCCTGCTCTAAATTAAATTTCCAAATAGGAAAACTCTGGAATTCCCCATGTCCTGGAAGGGAAAAGGCTGCTCAGGAGCCATCCAGGACAGGGATGAACAACAGGAATTCCAACTGTCCAGGAATCTGCTGAACCAAAAGCTCAGCAGAAGGAGAAAGCAGAAAAAGCAGAAAATAACTTTTGCCATGGTTCACTCCTCCAAACTGCTGCCTCCCTATAAATACTATCCTATAAATATTATTTTATTATTATATAATTAATTTTAATCATATTTAAAAGATGGTTTTTAGGTGTGCCAGCAGGCAGAGTGCATCCCCATTTCAGCCACTTATAGGCTGAAGGAAGGGGGGGAAAAAATGGGGAAAGGGAGAAAAGGTAAGGTTAAAAAAAAAGGAAACAAAGTAAAAAAAGGAGGGGAAAAAAATAGGATGTAACCGAATCCAAGCCTGCATTAGGTTTTAGGAGCTCAGAAAGGAATTATTGGCCTGGCTCTTGCCTGGGAATGAATGGAGCTGTTCAGGGCACTTAAACTCGTAATGAACACTAATCCCAGCAGTTCCCCCTCGGGTGGGAAGGGGAAAAGCTGGCACTGTCAGCGCTCCTGAAAGGAAAATCAAGCTCCCACCTTCTCTGTGCCAGGTAATTTTCCACATCCATCCCTTGCCGGGGGCTGTGGTGTTAAATAAATCACTTGGGTGCTTCTGCTAAAGTGATCCTGATTGAGTTGCAGCGTTTCAAACAAGTGTATATAACATTAAGTGGGCCATACATCCTCAGCTTGCTTTCTCGAGGGCCACAGGACAAGGAGGGATGGCTTTAGATTAAAGAGAGATTTAAGATATAGATTAGGAAGGAATCTTTCCCCTGTGAGGGTGGGCACAGGTTCCCAGAGAAGCTGTGGCTGCTCCTGGATCCCTGGAAGAGTCCAAGGGGTTGGAGCACCCTGGGATAGTGGTGTCACATGGAATGAGATTAATTTTAAGCTCCTATCCAACCCTACCCTCCTCTACTTCTGTGATTTTATTTATAATATTTATATATATATTTCTAGCTTTCTAGTTCACTCTCAAAGTTTCACGCTGGATAAAAGTTACAGCATACAGCAGAAATGCTGAATAAAGGCAGCTTTTCCTTGAAACCACAGAGGATCCTCAATACCTGGTAAATTAACATTTAAACTAAAAAAAATACTTGGTAAATTAACATTTAAACTAAATTATACCTGGTAAATTAACAGTCACCCTAAAATCCAGCAGCAATAAGACACATTGCAAAGCTCCAGACAGGCACATGCAATAATTTCTGATGTGGGCACAGCTCCTCCACAGCATCCAGAGCTGGTTAATTCACAATTATAGGGAAAAAAAAAACCAACCCAAGAGCCAGTGCAGCTTTGCTGTTAGCCAGAGGCAAAGAGAGTCAGTCAATAAAAGCAATCCCTGTCCCCCAGGAGCTATTCCACTAAAGAGCCAGCAGCTCCTGCTGCTTAAAAACCTCTGCTGGAATTAACAATCGATGTTCTAAATCAAGCCCAGGATCACAGACACAGCTAACGATTTCTGTTCCAGGGGTATCAGAGGGTTGGAAATAAATATTCCTCTGCCTGCCCTGGGGTGGGGGGTGAAAGGGTGGAGAGGCTGAAATCAGGATTAAATAAATCCCAGAATGGTTTGGGGTTGGATGGGACCCTGAGCTCACCCAATTCCAGGGGCAGGGACACTTCCCACTATCCCAGGGTGTTCCAGCCTGGTCTGGGACCCTTCCAGGCATCCAGGAGCAGCCAGAGCTTCTCTGTAAATTATAAATTATCACTCCCCACTGCACACACTGCCCTGCTGCTGCTTCCCAGCGCTGGAAAGGGATTTTAGGGAAGTGTTTTAGGGAATTTTCGGGTGAGAAGTTGGTGACAGCTCTGTGTGTTCACTCCTGCTGTGCCTCGCTGGGGTTGGGGGGGGGTTCATCCCCCAATGTGGGGATGCTCCTCAGCCCCATCCCTGCAGCAGCATCTGCCACACAGCAGCTCCTGGTGCCTGGGGAGGGAATTCCTGCACTCAACTGGAAATAAAACATCCAGGGAAGAATCCTGAGGTAGCTTTGTTGGTCACCTGTAACTTGAACTCCCGTTTAAATCAGGTTTTTTTAGTGTTGTGGGTGACTTTGAGCTGTAGTCACATCAGAGCAGCTGAGTCCCCGTTCCAGGTGACTTTCTGGTGTCTGCAGGGAAACAAGAGAGCTCCAGACTGATTTTAACAGAGCCACAGGCATCCAAAAGCAGGGTTTATTTTATTTCCCAATTCAGTGTTCAGATGCAGCAGAAACTCCCAGGCAAGGGGAAGCTCCTGCTCTCCAGAGCTGGAATATTATTCCAAATCCACACCTCCACCAGTCACTCTGAGCTCTCCAGACCTGGAATTCTTGTTCCTCTCCTGTATTATTCCAACTCCATCCCTCCACCAGGTCACTCTGAGCAGAGCTGTGCTGTGTGATGGATGCTGCCTGGGCCCAACACTGAAAATGTGAAAATTTTTTGCACCCAAAGCAAACCTGGCCAATGTTTGGTTCCACCATAATGTTTGCAGCCCTACCCGGCACTTCCAGGCACACAGAGCAAGGATCAGCCCTGATTTTACTGACCTGTGCCTCCCCTCAAGCCTTAGAAACCCTCTTTTATTTTTATTTTATTCCCCACTCTGCCCTCATCACCCTTTTAAGTGGGAAGGAAAATCCCTGTGCTTTTAAAAGAGCACAGCTGCACAAAGTGCAGGCTGCTTTCATCTCCAAACTTTCTTTTTCTGACATAAATAGTGAGGATTCACCTCTTGTGTCTCCTCATCCCCTCTTCAAAATGCTTTTTTATCTCCACAAGCACCTCTTGTATCACAGGACAGATATGGAGCATGACTGAAAAGTCACACTGGAAAGGAAAAGGAGGTTTTTTTTTTCTTTTTAAAGGAATAAAAAAGTCTCTGCAGGCTGCAGAGGTGAGGGGCAAAGGAGCAGCAGTTCTGACCACGGTGCACACGTGCTCTGAGCAGGATTTTGCACTTTGGATCTGCCCCAAGGTGCCATTCCTGGGAGGAACGAGAAGGGAGTTCCCCCACTCCTGGGCAGTTCTGCAGTCCTTGTGAGCACACGAAATGCTCCTTAAACTGGGCAAAGGGATGGCCCTGGGCAGAAATCAGCTCTGATAACCCAGCTGGGGGCACTTTGTGCCAGGCAGAGAGGAGTGGAGAGGGGCTGGGCACACCTGCCCCAGGGGTGGCTCTGCCCTTTGCTCTTGGCACTGCTCAAAGGTCAAACGGGATTTTCTGTGCATTCATAACCTGCAGGCAGGGGGTTTTCTCTGCTGTCATGGAATTGTTGAATCATTCAGGTTGGAAAATCCATCGAGTCCAAGCATTCCTCAGCACTGCCTGTGTCCCCAGGTGCCACCTCCACAGGGCTGTGACATCTCTCCAGGGATTTTGGCCACAAGTGCTCCCGTGCCCAGGAGCCTCCAGACCTGCAGGAGATCCCTGAGGAGAGCAAGGAGAAAAGGGAGCAGCAGCAGCTCAGGGACCATTTCTGATCCCAAGGGATCCAGGTGTTTGCAGTCTGTGTCCCTCCAGATCCCAAACCCCACACTAGTGGGGATTTAATTAAAACAATGGCTTTGATCTTCCTGCTCAGCCCATCACAGCAGCTAAACCCAAAAGTGGTTTTGTGTCCTCAAAACAATCTGGGAATTGAAGTGTGCCCACGGTTCAGAGCAAACAGAAATTTGCTGTCCACACTAAAATCATTTTCCTTCACACCCCCTTGTCCAAGGTGTCCTTAAAACAGAATAACATCCTTTGGTGCATTTTCAATGGGTCTTTCCTGCTCTTTCTTCTTGGAATATCTGGCGTGGTCATAGAAATAGATGATGATGAAAGAAGCAATGTTGAGGAAAAGGATGAGCAGCATGATCCAGTAGGAATATCCATAGTTGTGTTTGGATCCAAGGGCTGTCTGCAGAGGGATGGAACATCCTCCACGGGCCAGATCTTCAGACAGCCTGTTTCCTTCCACATTCACAGGGAACAGGATCATGGCTAAGAGGATGAGGACTCCTGGAAAAGAAAAATAGAAATTTTACAGGAGGAACTATGGTGCTATTTGTGTAGTGATTTATAGTCTGCTTTAATCCTTGTCCTAGACTGGAGCTTTTGATATCAATTTATCTTGAAAAATGTTGATTTTTTTTTTTTAATCTTGAAATTTATCCCGATAATATCTTAATTTTTTTTTTTTTAATGCTTAAGGAGTATTTAATACTTATCTAGTATTAGTAATTAGCAAACTGTGGGGGCATTTAAATTTTTGCCCCACCCAACAGTATCTGACAGATGTTTTGATATAATCAATGATATAATCTAAAATTATTAGTTTCTCACTGATTATTTTTAGATAAGGTCATTTAATGCAACTTCTTTTCATTTAATTTAGTGCTGATGAGTATTGTATATTCACACCTTTGGTGATTTGTAAATGTCTGATATGAGCCCAAATTAATGGCTGGGGAGTCTCACAGCTGGATAAAATAAAAGCAGCTGGATAGATATCTATCACAGCTGGATAAATATCACAACTGGATAAAGCCCTGAGCAGCCTGCTCTGTGCTCAGGGTTGGCCCAAGAGCTTAGACTTGAAAAATTTCTTTTCTTCACAACTTTGAATTATTGGATCAGTGTGGGATAAGCCAAAATGTGATGTCTCATTCGATCTGGCTCTATTTCTTACAGCCTCCCAAATGGAAAAGTTCAGTTCCTTTGACATTTATCTGAATATTGCTGTTGAATCTCTGCTTTCCTTGTGCCAACAGAGCTGTAATGTCTGAACTTTGGTGGAACAGTTCCATTCCTTCTCTCCAGGCACCTCACCCTACCCCAGCTCACGCTGGAACAGCTTCATTTTTTATTCAGGAGAACATTGGTAGGAGAATTAGGAACCTCCAAGATGACCTCCCACATTAAATCATGTGTGATTTCCCATAAAAATACACCCACAGCAAAATGAACTTCCAGGTCACAGCACTTGCAGGGCTGTTAAAAGTTACCACAGCCCTCAGCCAACACTAGAATTTATGTTCACCCCAAAATTTCTTTTGGCCGGCCCAAATTTCAGCTTTCATTTCAGTCAGAGCTCGCAGATTCAGGTGCTGGGCTCAGGAAAATCCTTCCCGTGGGATGAGGCAATAATCTGCTTGTCTCAGAAGGGAATCATTGTCTAATTAAGCTTTTTATTTTAATTGTTTCTCAGTTGTTTCAGCATCTGTGTTAAAAAAATGTGTGATTTTCACACCTCCACCTGTACTTGTAATAATTGAGATTATCTGCACTGTTCCCTTCCCACCGAGGTCTGGTTTTATCCCCAGGACAGGTTGGTGCTGCTGGGGACACATTGCCCTGGACCCAAAAAGCTTTTGAAGGATAAAATACCTGTACTGAAGCACTCTGTAGTCAGATGTCTTAAAAGGAAATTATTCAAGTACAAACCTATTATTAGAGGAACTCATCCTCTGGAGGGTGACTGAGTGTGAGAGTTTGGCCAGAGCAGGGCAGGGAGGGTTGGGAGCAGCCAGGCTCAGTCCAAGCAGGAATGTGGCTTTTCCACCTCCAGGAGCTCTTGGATGGGTTCACAGCTCTAATGACTTCTTTTTAAATTTTTTTTTTTTTTTCATGCTTAGGGAATGTTTAAACCTATTTTCATCCGTGATTTTTACTTTTATGAAAGAGGGAACTAATTTTTTTGCCACGACTCACCCCTCCAAACTTCTGCCTCCCTAAAAATATTATTTTTATTATTATAGAATTCATTTTAATCATATTCAAAAGGTGGCTTTTCAGGCGTGCCAGCGGGCAGAGTTACAAAACAAACGCAGGGAGCAGAACGCATTTCCAGCTCGTAGCCCCATATAAAATATTGGGATTTCAGCACCCAGCAGCACTCACCACAGGCGGAATTCCAGGTGTAGACTCCCACGGCTCCCAGGAATGTCTGGTAGGGGTTGCTGACGGCGTTGGTGCAGGTGAAGCCGGCGCTGAGCAGGGAGCTGAGCAGGGCCAGCACCAGCAGGGCGATGGTGGCGATGTTGAGGCTCCTGCTGCTGCCACTGCCCAGGGCATCCGCCACTGAAACGGGACAGGGACACGGACAGGGTCAGGGACAGGGACAGGGGGATGCCTCGGGCCTTGAGATTCCCCAGAGCTCAAATCCTGCCCTGATTCAGTGTAGAAACTCTCTAGAAAAAACCCTCATTATAAATCCTATATAAAAAACCTCTCTATAAACCCTATATTAAAAACCCCCTCTATATAAACACTTTATTAAAAAAAAACCCCTCTATATAAACCCTATAGAAAACTCTCTATATACCCTATAGAAAAAAAAACTCTATCTAAACCCTATATAAAAAACCTCTATATAAACCTTATATAAAAAACTCTATCTAAACCCTATATAAACCCTATATAAAGAAACTATATAAAGCCTATATAAAAAAACTCTATATAAACCTTATATAAAAAAACTTTATATAAAAACTCTATATAAACCCTATATTAAAAAAACCCCTCTGTATAAACCCTATATAAAACTCTATATAAAGCCTATATGAAAAAACTCTATATAAACCTTATATAAAAAACTCTCTATAAACCCTATTTTGAAAAAACTCTTTATAAAGCCTATATTAAAAAAACCCTCTATATAAACCCTATAGAAAACTATATAAACTCTATATAAACCCTATTAAAAAAAAAACTCTGTATAAATCCTATATAAAAAAACCTCTATATAAAGCCTATATAAAAAAACTCCATATAAACCCTATATTAAAAAAACTCCATATAAACCATATATAAACCCTATATATATAAACTCTGCAGAAACCTCTATAGAAAACTCTATATAAACTCTCTATAAACCCTATATAAAAAAACCTCTCTATAAACTCTCTATATATATATAAACTCTATATAAACCCTACAGAAAGCCTATAGAAAACCCTATCAAAAACCCTATAGAAGCCCTATACAAACTCTTTATTTTGGTCAGACAAAACAATCCCCCTAGTCTGAAAATCAAGGACACCCTACAGCCTCAGGGCCAGGAAAGCATCAATAAAAGTGAATTATGGGGGAGCAAACCGAGGGTAAATGACTTCATTACCTGAAGCTGTAATTGGAGGATTCACCCCTGATATGCAAATTTACCAAACTCATCAATGCCTGAAAAACTGGTGGCCATTGTTCATTTTGTCAATGTCCCTGAGAGCCCTGCATTAATTAGAGCTGCTTTTATTCCCTGTGTTTCCTTGGAAAAGGCATCAAGGAGACAGCTCAGCTCGTGCCACAGGGGTTGGATTGGGGATTTGGCAAAGTTTGCTCACAGCAAAAGGGTGGTGGAGCATTGGAACAGGGAGTCACCACCTCTGGAAATGTGCCAAAGGTGGCTGTGGCATTTGGGGATGTGCTGAAAGGTTGGACTCGATTATCCTGGAGAGCTTTTCCAACATTGATATTCCACGATTCTGTGATAACCTGCCCTGCCCAGTCTGGTGGGTTTGGAAAACCGAATGAGTTCCTGCCAGGGCTATAATTAAAAGCTAATGAGCAGAGGTTTGGCTGATCTGAAGGGATTGGGATGAAGTGCAGGAGGTTTGGACACAGCAACGAACCCAAATCCCACATGGGGTGAAGGTACCTGGGCTGAAATAAATTCTTGCCTGCTAATCCTGCAGTTAACTGGGTAGCAAACTTCTGCTCCTTAATACTTCTGTAAAAATTCCCTCTGGATGAGGCCAGACGGGAATTTTCTGCCTAAACTGGATCAGAAATCTGGGTGTTCCTCTGCCAGTGTCTGGTCACCTCCACAAATGCCTATTTAAAATTCTGCTCCAGTTGTATTTCCTTTTAAAATAGCGGCAGTACCTCACATGCAATAAATTTGACAGGAAAAACCTCCCCAAAGCTCATAAAGCTGCTGCCTGGGCGGGCCAGGTGCATTTGGAGGACAAATAAATGTGAGTGTGGTCACCCATGGGCAGATGAGGATGGTTGAGCTCATCCCCCTGACTGGATCTGTGTCTGTGCCCTGCAGGAAAAACTTGGAGCAGGCAGGGCTGGCTCCTTTCTTTTAAAATAAAGGACAGGACTGGGTTCCTGGAGGGTTTGTGGGCACATGATCCCAAATCCTGCCCCCTCTCCTTATTCCCAGATCATTCCCTGCTGTAGTTCCATGGCTCTTGTGGTCCAACCCTTCAGAACTGTCACCAATTTTTGCCTAAATCCTTCCAGTTCCTCGATTAAGTTGCTGGTAACAAGAGAACCCCAAATGTGATACCCTCAAAGTGTTATTTTGTTGAGGTGAATTATTTTCCTCCTCTCAATTTACAGATTGAAAATATAGCAGCTATAATGTGCTTTATGTTGTAACAAATATACTGACAATGTTTTGGAGCTCTGTTCAAATAGATGTTGTGAGAGACAGATTTCTGCAGGAAAATTCCCTTTGTGTGCTGTTCTTGAACAGAGCCATTATTGCAGAATATTCAGGTAGTGCATAACTGGGAGAAATCACAGCAGGGAAAAAAAAAAAAGAGTAAAAGCCCCATAAAGAGGAATAAACATAATAAAAAGAGCTGTTGGCAAGGAATGAAAAGGAGAATTCCTCTCACATTTTATCTAATACTGCAGTACAAGTTAATTTCTGCTTGAGGCACTGGCAGCTGAGGATGTGTTATGGAAATCAGTTGTAAATTTAAGCAATTTTCCTGGAAGAAAAGGAAAGCAGGGCATCCAGGGGATATCACTCAATGAAATGGAAGTGAGCAGGTTGTACCTGCACTCAGCCTTGCAGCCTGGCCATCACCTGTGATCTATTTCTTGGGGAAGAAATCAGTCTGGAGCTAAATCAGACAGGCTGGTGTAATTTCCCCTCTGGCAGCCTCACTTAATTTTATCTCTCAGAACATCTCCACAACTGCCTGGCTACACCTCTTGCACCCCCTAATTGATCTGGTTTGTCTCTGCCACTGAGCTGCAGTTTAGGGGATGGCATTTTGGCAGCCTCCAGCTGTCCTGGCCCTGTCTGCAACAGCACAAGGCTGAGGGCTTGAAAGAAAATGCTCTTTTCACGGCAGCTGATTTTTTTTTTAATCCCTAAATAAAGCAGTCTGTGCAAACAGAAGGAATCTCCAGCAGCTGATCTGTTTGAGTGGGATCAAACTCAAATATTTAGAGTGGTAACCTGCAGCTGGATAACCTCTGGATCTGTGTAAAACAACAATTCTAGAATGAAAGCAGGGTTTGGTCAGATTTCTCCTTAATTTCCTGTATCTTCTTTTATTTTTCATCCTTTATCCTTACATGTTTGGGTAGAATTTCACTGAGCTTAGTCAACCTTCCCAGCAGCTTTTCCAGCTCTACAATCACCCATGACACATCAGGAATTAATCACTGAAAAAAGCCCAAACAAACAAAAAATCCCGAGGAGAGTTCAACAGAGCTTCCTTCTTTTCAGGAGATCCTTGGGAACTGATGGGAACAGGAATGAATTCCAGCAATTTCCAAGTTTTTGTCATGTACTTTAGGAAGTTAGAAAGTGAAATGATTCCTCTGTGCCGTGGTAAAGTTGGAAATAATTCCTTAGCCAGCAGTTGGATAAATCCTGACATTCCAGATTCTCTGGGCATGGTTCTGCCTAAGCCTGGCTCAACCTCTTGGTGTTTGGCTTGGACCAGTCAAAGCCAAACTTCTGTGACAGACATTTTACCCATAGCTGGTTCCTCTCTGAGACAAATAATCCAAAGAGCTCAGGAAGGCTCTGAGGAGCCCGGTTATTAAATAACTTTTGCATTCTGCCATCCCTGGAGCCTGAGGAGTGGCTGCAGTGATTTATTGCTCTATTTAGGCTGGGGAAGAGCCACCCTGGCTGGGCACTCCACTGCCACAAATGACATTCCTTTGTCTTTCATCTTTGTGCTTGGAAATTTCCTTGAATGTTGTGGTTTCTAGAGAAATGAGTTGGTTGGTTTTTTGGTTTGTTTTTTTTTTTTCCCTGTTGATGATCTGCTTTTGAACAGCCACTGATTAAAGTCAACCTGGGCTATTGCTAAAAATAATCCCCAAGTTCTTGACTTTGATTTACCCTTCAGGGATTGTCCTTCTTTCCCCACACCCAAATATGACAGTGCCATTTCAGAAATGCACGTGGGGCGCCCAGCAGAGCCCCCAGGCAGGGCACAGCTGCTTTTAAATCATGCTGTGATTTAAAGGGATGTTCAGAACTCCTCTTGCTGATGCCTGAAATGCTGGAATGGAGAAAGCTCCTCCATTGCACTGGAAATCCATTTATTTATGGATATCAGCAAAGAAAATGCATCTCCTGTCTTAGGAGGACAGGAATATAAATGGATATGAATATAAAAAAGAATGTATGGAATTCTAGGAAGTATTTTTCCTATTTCAATTATATAGAGAATAGAATAGAATAGAATAGAATAGAATAGAATAGAATAGAATAGAATAGAATAGAACAGACTGGTTTGGGTGGGAAGGGACATTAAATTACAACCAGTGTCACCCCTGCCATGGCAGGGACACCTCCCACTGTTCCAGGTGCTTCAACCCCAATGTCCAGCCTGGCCTTGGGCACTGCCAGGGATCCAGGGGCAGCCACAGCAAATCTGGGCACCCTGTGCCAGCCCTGCTCACTATCCCAGGTAAAGATTTCTTTAGCAAATTCTTTAGCAAATAATATAAAACATGATAATCATGCTTATTATAGAGCCTAAGAATTAATTTCAAGTCAGTTCTTCTCATTCTGGATACCTGCCTGACAGAACCAGTGAGAGATGTGGGCAAACCCAAATTTAGATTATTTATAAAGCATCACTTTCCTTCAGCAGCTGTGGAGGGAAACTCACAAATCCAGAAGCTCACTCGTTTTGTTCATCCCTAAATAACTGATGGGGAGAGTTGGGATCACTTTTTGTAAATGCTCTCTCAACATTTGATAAATGATAAGCACAAAACCCCAAACCTGGTGAGGGAAAACCCAACACCACCAATGCAGAACGTGCAGAGACCCCAAACCCTTCAGTGATACCAGAGTGTTGTGAGTTCCTTTGATGAATTCTAATTAAAATCGATCTGGTGGCAACACCCAGGCCTTGGGACTGGGCTGTGGGAGCTGTTTCAGACAAAGGCAGGGCACAATCCCTGGGCTGCAGCCAGCCTGGATCCTCCTCTGCCATCAGCCCCACCTTTCCCACGGAGCCCGATTAAAACCAGCCAGAGCTGCCCCAGCTTTGGGCCTTCAGCCAACTATAACCACACAGAAATGAATTGATTGATTGATTTATTATTATTTACTCTTCTAAAAAATCACTTTCACGGATCTGCTGTGGCTGTAATGAAGTAAGACTGAACGCTTTGGGATTTTTTTACTTGTTACGTAACGATACCAATCCAAGCTCCACCCCTTGCTGGGAATGCTGCTGTGCTCAGGGTTTGGTGAGAACGTGAATGAAATGGAATCCAGTTCAACGTGGGCACTGCTTTGTGTAACCCAGCTCTGCCACCGTGGGAATTGAGGTGTTTGTGCAGGTGCAATTGCAGGAATAAACCAGGCTGGGGAAGAGCCTGCTCTGTTAGGCTGGAGGTTTAGATCTGATGTGCTGGGACATCTCACAACAGCCTAACAAAACATGAAATTATTTCTCAAAGCATCTTAAAATCCCAGATTGGTTTGGGCTCAGAGGGAGCTTAAATTCCATCCCATCCCACCCCTGCCATGGCAGGGACACCTCCCACTGTCCCAGGTGCTCCAAGCCCAATGTCCAACCTGGCCTTGGGCACTGCCAGGGATCCAGGGGCAGCCACAGCAAATCTGGGCACCCTGTGCCAGTCCTTATATCTAATTTAAATCCACATCTCATATTTCAAAATTATTTGACCTGCTCATGTTTTTGATAGCATTCTTTTGAGTGGCTTTTCTCCCTTTCTCATGTGTCCCCAGCATTATTGCTCTGAACTTGATGAGGCAGCAAGGCAGATAAAATAAGTGCAAACCCTTGATCCTTGCAGCAGCTTTCAGGTTTATCTGCCCTCGGGTGTTGTTTTGTGTCTTTTGTTCTTTTTCCTGCAGCAACCTTCAAACCTTTCTCTATCAAAACAGTGCTAATTTAGTAGTAGGTGGCAAAATGTTGAAAGTCAAAATAATAAATTAACATCATTAAATTAAAAAAAAAAAAAACAAACACCCAAACCCTGGAAAGTGAATTAGGTTTGTAAATCTCTTAAGTGGTGAGTTCCTCGCCAAACTTCTGAAAATCAAAGTCAATTTGACAGAAAGCTCCCATTTTGTGTTTTTTTTTTCTCTTGTTCCAAGGTGCAGGCCAAGATCACAGGTGATAAGTTGTTGAATTTCGGTGCTTTTTGGGGGGGTCTTCTTTTATACCACTTCAATCCCCCACTTCAATTTGTGTTTTCATTTGAAATATTGTCAGATGGATACTTTGGTCAGTGGCACGAGTAAGAAGATCTTAGGTTTGGGTTGGATATTGGGAAGGTGAGGATGATGATGATGCCCTGGAATGGATTTCCAAGGGAGGCTGTGGCTGCTCCTGGATCCCTGGCAGTGTCCAAGGCCAGGCAAATCCTTCCCAGTATCCAACCCAAACCTTAGATCTTCTCACTCGTGCCGCTGACAGGCGTGTCCATCTCAGAATGTTTTAAGTCGTTTTGAAATATGAGATGTGGATTTAAATTAGATATAAGGGCTGGCACAGGGTGCCCAGATTTGCTGTGGCTGCCCCTGGATCCCTGGCAGTGCCCAAGGCCAGGTTGGACATTGGGGTTGGAGCACCTGGGACAGTGGGAGGTGTCCCTGCCATGGCAGGGGTGACACTGGGTGGGATTTCAGGTCCCTCTGAACCCAAACCAATCTGGGATTTTAAGATGCTTTGAGAAATAATTTCATATTTTGTTAGGCTGTTGTGAGATGTCCCAGCACAGCAGATCTAAACCTCCATCCTAACAGAGCAGGCTCTTCCCCAGCCTGGTTTATTCCTGCAATTGCACCTGCACAAACACCTCAATTCCAGGTGGGGGGCGGCACTGGATGGGATTTAAGCTCTCTCTGAACCCAAACCAGTCTGGGATGCTCTGATCCCTTTCCAGCTGTGCCAGCACTTACCTTGGAAGGTGTCTTCCGTGACCTGGATTCCTGCCTCCACGAACTGCTCACAGGTAGCTGTGAAGAGGCCGTACCTGAGGCTGATGGTGACGTTGGAGATGGTGCCCGAGAAGCGGACCTGGCTGCTCACCCACTGCGGGGTGGCCAGCACCACGCAGATCAGCACGAAGGAGCACACACAGGTACAAAAAGAAGAGGCAAACATGGAGGCTTTCTTCCTGGATGGCATCTTTGCACTGTTTTGTTTTTTTTTTTTCCCAGTTCAGAGGATTTGGTTCTCTTTAATGCCGTTTACCATGAGGGTGATTCCTCCTCGGCGCTGTCCGAGCACACAGAGTGGTTCTGGTAAACTTTAAGCAAACAGCAGTGGCAATAAAAATGTAGAATCATTGAACTTTGCTCTGGGGAAAAGGTGTCACCATGGTGACAGCCAAAGCAGCCTGGCCAAGGCCCCAGTGGAATTGTCCAGGGATGATTTATGGTCCTTGCCAAAGAGTCACTCCCCGGATCCCAGCCCTGGGTTCACCCAGAGCCTGGAGCTGGCACCTTCCCAGCCCCTCCTGGGATATTCTGAATTCTTGGTTTTTTTTTCCTTCTTAAGATCCTGACAGCCAAGCTGGAATCTGCCAGTCCATATCTAATCTCTCTCTAATGTGTTATGATAAAGTTGTGAAATGTTCCTTCTCCATTCACGTTCCCAGCTTGCCTAAGGAGCAACCCAACCATCATTTTGGGAAACCTCTTAAATGATTTAAATTGCAGAAAACATTGTGCTGGGGTGGGTTTTGGTGGGATGAGGAGATTCTAGCTACTGTCAATAGGTTATTTTCTAAGAAACACCTCCAATTCCTAATTAAATTCCATGTATTTTCACAGAATAACTCCCTTTTGCTTTTTGCCATGAAGGAAACAAATACCATGAGCAGGGCTTCATTTCAGGGGAGTAGTGGATATGAGCATGGAGAAATCCTAGGAAAAAAATCTATTCTGGACTATAAACCAAGGGAAAATATTCATTTTTGTGCCCCCAGCTGACCTAAACAATGACCAAAGAACATGATTTCAAACTGAACCTTCAGAGCTGAATGAAAAGCCAAATTTCAAGAATTTGAGATAAACTCAGTCCCCATGATTTTGGCCTGAAACCTGGAATATAAATTAATAATTTATTATCAGTGTAGAGTAACAGAAATTCCATTAGCTTTTATTTCTATTAATTATAATGTCATTATCCTGCTCCTGGGTCATCCAGAGATTTTTAATTAACCTTTAGGGAACAATCTGCTTCAAAAGTGCTGCTGGATCAACCTGTGGAGTTCTTGTCCTGAAGCTTCCCTGCTTTGTCCTGTGATGACAAGGAGAGATTCTGGAATTTTTTATGGATTTGAAATAGCCAAGAATTTCTCAGCAGGAGTAAATACCTGGGGAAAAAAAAAATTTATTCTGCAATGCAGTGTTATTGTACTGAGATTTTTCTGGTTTTATGATTTTTTGGATCCCAGACTTTGAAGCAGTAATTAGATTTGAAATCCATGGATTTTATTTTTATAGTCTTGTGATGTTTATTTTATTTTCCAAACTACTTGAGACTTTGATGATATCTTTGAGGTCATTATTGATAATAAATACAAATATATACATATTAATATATACATATTAATTATAATTATAAATATAAAAATAAATATAAATATATAAATAGAAATGTAAATGTAAATATAAATATAAATAAATATATATAATTTTAAAAATTATTTCAATTTTATTCCTAAATAATCAAAATGCTCCATTAACATAATGGAAAACAGTCAGGATTTGACTTAAGCTCCAAGGAATAAAGGGAAATTTCTTATTTCTATAAAACAATAAGAAACCTGCCTCATTTTCTGTCCAGAACCCAGTTAAAGTTTAACCACAGAAATATGGGAAGGCTCTGTTTGGCTGATCCACCTCTCCAGGTTCATGAATCCAACAGTTCCATTTTCCAAAGGACATAGTCCAAGACTTTATAATCCAAGGATCTCCTCGAATAAAGTGATCTAAAACCTGCCCTCCTGCCATCAGCAGTGCCACTTGTCCCCTGTGAAATCTGGTTAAAAAAATTCCGTGTTTTAGAACTGATGTTTATCTTGGTAAAAATTTCCAGGGAATTATTTTTCAGCTCCTTCAATTCTGCTGAATTGAATTAAAAACCACTGAACAGCAGAGACTCAGAGCGTGGTCAACAGCCTGGAGTTCCCTTCCTTTTCAACCTGACTCAATTAGATTTCGTTTTTGGTGACTCAGCTCAAATTGCTATGGCTCAAATCATTGAAATTCTCCTGTGGCTCAGGGAATTGCTCTGTAAATGACACCATAATTTGCTTTTTTCTTGCTTGTCACCTTGAGGTTTATTCTCTGCCTAGACTATGATTCCTTGTCTGTTTTTTTTTTTTTTTTCCCCTCACAGCTAACTGTAAGAACATCATAAAACCTGGAATTAAAGCTGCAGTTTTGACAGGACACACCTCATCTCGAGAGAGAAAGGAGAAGAGATTGCTTTTCCTCTGACTCAGAGAAAATATTTCCTCATCAGCACCTTCTCCACTCTGCCCCCACTGCTCCTGACTCAGCCCTGACAGCAAAGAGAAAAATCAGATTCATTTGTTATGAGCCAGGGGGGCAGCAGAGAGACCTGCGATCCTTTGCTACATGAAATTACCCAGCATTTTTAAAGCTGGATGATGTGAGTATTTCCCTCCTGTTGAAATCCGTTTGCTTTGAGCCAAAAACACCAAAGGAAAGCCTTTAAACAAACTTTTCGTGCACATCTGTTCTTTCATGTTGCAAACACGTTCTTACGTGGGGAAAAAAAAAAGAAAAAAAAACCCCAAACAATCCTTGGTTTGATGCTTTGTCCACAGTTCCAGAAGGATCAGAGGTTAGGGAGGAATTCTTCCCTGTGAGCAGCTGGGGCTGCCCCTGGATCTCTGGAATTTTCCAAGGCCAGGTTGGAGCAGCCTGGAATAGTGGGAGGTGTCCGTGCCCATGGGAGGGATTTCAGGTATTTTCCAACCCAAACCATCCTGGCATTCTGGGCTGTTCTCCCAAGGGATTCCAGCAGGGTTTGGCTCCCAGCTCAAAGCTCTCAGCTGTGCTCAGCAGCAGCCAGGGAAATTCAAGGTGAAGCCACTGCAAAATATCCCCAATTCTGCTGCAGCTGCAATGCTTCACTGCTGCTGGTTTAAAAACGCTGTGTTCTCTTTAAATATTTCATTTAAAACCAACTGACTGCTGGCAGCAGGGCTGGCTGCAAGTGCTGCTGATATTTGGGATTTTCCCTGGGCCTGACCTTTGTGGTGCATCCACAAAGCCTTGACATCCTTCCCTCATTTCCATTTTCAGTCTCTGGTTGCACAGGAGCTCAGCTGCTTCATCCCTCAGCTGGTTTTGGCTCCAAAAAGATCCCAAAACTTCCAGGATGTGCAGGGTCAGTCCATGGATTCCGTGCAGGATCAAGCCACGTGTTGCCAATGTTGCCTCTCCCTTTTCTATGATAGATAAATTGGAATTAAAGCAAATTATAGCATATTAAGAGTGAAACCCAGTTTTTTTTTTTCCCTCGGGCACTTTGCAGCCAGCATTCAGATGGAAACAGGGATTTGTTTGGACCTTAGGACTGGAGGAGGGAAATGGGAGAAAGCATCAATTTTATTGGAGCTGGGGTTGAGAAATGTGAAGCTGGACTGATGTGCAAAATGATTGCAACAACTCCTTGGAAAACTCTGGAATTCCTTGGAAGAGAGGGGTGTGAGCACCATTTTTATGGATCCCTGCCCAGTGCTGCTGGGGTGGATTTGCACAATTCCATCTCCTGATTTCTTCTTTCTCTCTGACCTTTTTTTTTTTTTTTTTTTTTTTTTCCCCACAGCACTTTGGAAAGACAAAGTAAACACGGTGGATTTCTTGCCAGGAAATGCCCAGAACTTCTCAGAACTTCCATCATGGGATGGCTGTGGATGTCAGTGGGATCACAGCTGGGATATTGTCCCTCAGGCAGGTGGAATAGGAGCTCCACATTAATGTGCTCATTATTAATTAATAATGAGCTCCAGCTCCTTGGAGCTCAATCCTCTCACCCCAGCAGCCAGCAGGAACTGGGGAAAAAATAGGGGGGAAAATAGGGGAAAAATAGCAGGAAAAGATAGGGGAAAATAGGGGGGAAATAGGAGGAAAATAGGGAGAAAATAGGGGGGAAAAATAGGGGAAAAAATAGGAGTATTTCTAACTGGGCATTAAAATAAATGGAAGATCCCAAAGCCACTACATTGGAATCAGCACAAATGTGCAAAATCCTGATTGTTGCATCCCTTGGGTTGTGGATTGTGTCCACTCTGGATTCTTTGGAAAAAGTCCTGAAATTCCTGGAAAAGAGGAAATGGCTTCAAACTTCCAGGTTAGTCAGAAATTGGGAAGTGGGAACACCCCTTGCTCCCATGGCAGCTGTAGGGACAGCCCTGAAATTGCTTTTTCTCAATGATAAAGAATTATTAAGAAATTATCCAGCATTAAGTTTTGATGGGAAATAAATCCTTCTATGGGAAAGTTTATCTTTTACAACTTCTCCCAGGGCACCCATCCTGGCAGCAGCTCCCTGAGCATCTGACTCTTGTTTATCCTGTTTCTCCCCATTTCCAAGCTGGAAAATCCTTGGTGGGAAAGTTTGCAGGCCGTTCTGGTAGAATAAAGGGGTTTAAAATGAAATCTTGATATTACAGAGATATTTCCTTTTTGTTTTTCCGCTCCAGAAGTCATTGTCTGCATTTCCCTAAATAACAGAGCTCCACTAAAACCTTTAAAATCTCTCAAGGTGTCTTTTCTCCATACCCTAAAAGATGGCACAGCTTTAAAATGATTTGTTTTGCTGTTAAAATGTTTTAATTTATGACTCAATAGTGAAATTGAGTGTTCAAGTGGAGTTCATTGAAGAGTGAGGGGCAAAAAACACTCCTGGCATTTCAAGAAATGGAAAATACAGCCTTTGCAATATTTTCATTTTAATAAAACGTGGCTTTGAAGCTGCTTCAAGGTGGGGAGAGTTTCAAACAACCCCTTGAGGTGGAGATGGAGAGAAGAGCAGGCAGGGCAGGCTCTCACTTCTTGCAATTTCTGTAACAATTCTAAAGAGCTGTAGGTTTGAACACTTCAATCTGTTCCTACAGATTCCTAATTTTAGATTCCAAATGGAAAAACCTTCGACAAATACCCCTTTGAAGTCATTAAATTAATTACTGCTGGAATATTACACAGCCTCACGCTTTTGCCCAATTATTCCCACTTTGAAGAGTTTTCCTTGTATTTTCAGGCTGA